GCTTACAGGAGCATGCACTCACGTTCACTATGGAGATCGACAACCAAGATGTGATAATCATGATACAAAATCCAGTGGACATTGCACAAATTGTAACAAAGGGGATGCGCATGGGAGTAGAACTATAAAATCAATATCTTTGGGCCATGCACCCACCGTCAACTCTTACGCATCATCACAACTGGACACCCCTTCCCCCATGCAACCACAACAACCCCAACCTTTCCTCCACTTTCCATACCAAACTCCACAAAACACACCGGAATTTCCCTTCTATCCACCACAGTTATCCCAACAAACCTTTGTCCCTTGGATTCAACAAAGATCATTGATCGCAACACCACCACCTCTGCATGCACAAGCCTCTTCCTACCACCCACTCGCACCACCAACCAGCCCCCCCTCACACCCGCTATCATACTCCATCAGAACTCGGAGCAGAAGCGCAACTAGAAGTGACTACAACAATGGAGGAGATACGAGAAACAAGACCAATCTTGTGCTTTCTAAATGGGAACAGAACTTACACGCTCAAAGAGCAGTTTGCAAGAAAAGTGATCATCGTCTTTTCTTAGGAGCTGCAAAGTTGCTCCCTCAATGCACGAACCACTCAAAATCCAACAATGGGCAAATATGCAATAGTCATGATTCCAGCGATGGCACCACCACAGGAGGAGACACTTTCCCCTCCCTCACCCAATAATTCATCCATGCAACTCATCATCTGGAATTGCAGAGGAGCCCAGTCACCGGACTTCAAAAGGAATTTTTGATCCTTGTTGAACTATCACAATCCACCATTGGTAGCACTATTGGAGACTCACCTCCAGGAACATGCAACCCTCAAAGACGAATTTGGCTTCACAAATTTGGCGCAGGCACCGGCAATGGGTACCAGTGGGGGTATTGCTTTACTGTGGAAGGAGGACATCATCCAACTAGACCAAGTTGCAGTCACACAACAGGAAATTCACTCGATTATCCAGGTACGGCCACACATTTATACTTGGCTTTTTTCGGTTATCTATGCAAAAAATGACATGCAATCTAGACATGCTTTATGGGGAAACGTAAGGCAGCTACATGATACTATTAAGCTACCTTGGCTAATGGGTGGGGATTTTAACGAAGTAACAAAAGTATCATAGAAATACGGAGGCCTCGCCCTAAATAATAATAGGTGTGACAAATTTATTCGTTGCTTGAACTATTACAACTTGGTAGACCTAGGTTATACTGGTAGTAAGTATACTTGGACCAACAAACGACACATCAGAAATTGAATTTTGGAACGACTGGATCGATTTGTAGCAAATTATGATTGGATTAACCTGTTTCCACAAGCCCTAGTACAACATCTACCTAGAACACACTCGGACCATTGTCCATTACTAATTCAACTAAATAAAAAATATGCCACTACAGAAAAAACTGTTTAGGTTTGAAACTATTTGGCAAAGTCATCCACAATTCCTTTCAATTATAAAAAGAAACTGGCTTAATAATAAACTCATTCTCCTCGATATAGAAGACTTCACAAAAGATGTTACAAGTTGGAATAAATCCACCTTTGGGAATATTTTTAGGAAAAAAAGAAAACTCCTAGCCAGGATAAAAGGAATTCAGTCCTCACATGCCTATCCTACGAGTTCCTTTTTACAACACCTAGAACATGACTTGATTGCCCAATTAAATGACATTTTAAAATTGGAAGAAGAATTCTGGAAATTAAAATCACATATGAATTGTCTCCAACAAGGCGACGCCAATACAAAATTTTTTCACCTAAAAACTATCAAGCGTCGTAGACGAAATCATATTACGGCCTTAAAAGATTCAGTGGGAAACTGGATATACGACCAACACACTCTCATTCGCCAAATTGAATAGTACTACCAAAACCTGTTTACTACTTCTCATACGGTCCATCCAAAATATTCCCAGGTCACCACACCTCAACACCTGAACAACTTATCGGACTTTATTTACTTCTTACCACCAGGAATTCTTCGAGCCGTTAAATCTTTTCAACCACTAAAAGCACCGGGACTGAATGGTTTACGTTCACTCTTCTACCAAAATTACTGGCTACACATTGCACCTTCTCTCGTATCTTTCTGCAAGGAAGCCTTTGAAAAATAACACATTCCGCTGGAAGTAAATAAAACATACCTATGTCTTGTCCCAAAAATACTCCACCCTACTTTGATCACGCAATATCGCCCTATTAGCCTTTGTAACACTCTCTACAAAATAATAACAAAAATTATTGTCCATCGTATAAAACCAATTCTTCAAACAATCATAAGTCCAGAACAATCTGCCTTCTTACAAAATCGTAGAGCTTCCGATAACACTATTATTGTTCAAGAAATCATCCACCATTTTAAAAAGAAAAAAGGGAAGCAAGGAGAATTCCTCTTAAAATTAGACTTAGAAAAGGCTTTTGATAAACTAGAATGAGGTTTCATCAGAGACACACTCATATACTTTAACTTTCCAGCAAATTTGATTAATTTAATTATGTCATGCATTACTTCTTCCACAGTCTCAACACTTATCACTGGCACCCCTACCCCTTTTTTCAGCCCCACTAGAGGAATCCGCCAAGGGGATCCTCTCTCACCCTATTTATTTATTTTATGCCTAGAAATGTTGACTAGGAAAATACATTAGATGTAGATTACAGACTATGGCATCTCATAAAACTCTCTACACACGGACTACAACTATCACACCTCTTCTTTGCCGATGATATCACCCTCATCTCTAAATAGAATACAAAGAGTGTTCACTCTATTATCGATACCCTCACACTCTTTACCAACACTATGGGCCAGACCATTAACTACACCAAATCAAAAGTCTTCTTCTCACACAATGTCACAACTGATGATAAAAACTTTGTTCTATCCTCCTTCAACATGAAGGAAGGCATGAACTTTAGAAAGTACCTAGGGTCTCCCATATTCGGTCAATGACCCACCAAGAAAGATTTTCAATTCCTCCCTGATAACGTTAAACATAGATTGGCATGTTGGAAAACTAATGTGCTATCCATGGCTGGCCGTACCACTCTCATCAAAGCCACCCTTAATTGTCTTCCAAATCACCTAATGCAATTAATACAAATTCCTAGTTATATAACTCAGCTACTAGAAAAATACCAAAGGGACTTCCTTTGGGGTACTACACCACAAAAAAGAAAACTCCATCTAATCAAATGGAAATCTATACAACCAGATAAACAACATGGCGGCCTGGGAATACCTAACTTAATTCATAAAAACCATGCACTACTTGGTACCCAAGCGTGGAGGTTATTTAACTCACCCCACTCACACTGGGCATCAATACTCTTAACTAAATACTTACCTCGTAGAAACTCTAGCAATATAACCCATACTTGGAAGGCTATCCAACAAGGATGGTCTTACTGCCAAGAGGGTCTTACATGGAACATCTCTAATGGTACTCATGTACAATTTTGGACGGAACCTGGATGGGGCCAAAAAAGATTATCCGGCAACTCATAGAAGGCCCATTACCACAACAACACTAAACTCCCACGGTTGCTAACTATACAACCCACAATACAATAAACATGGACCTCATTCCTTTTGAGTTCCCACCATAATTACGGAACTCATTAACAAATATTTACATACTTACCATAACAAATCCTACCTCTTTTGACAAAATAATCTGGGGTTTAAGCCCAACGGGGATGTTCACAGTAAAATCCTTATATCACAAATTACACAATTCACACTCCAACTCTTCCTTTAAATGGATTTGGGCATTGCCAACACCGCCAAAACTAAAACATATCATATGGCTTGTAAGCCACCATCGACTACCTACTGCGAGCTACCTTCATCATATCAATATCGCCACTACACCTATGTGTGGCATTTGCAATAGAGCCACAGAAAACATCGAACATCTTTTACTACATTGCCCCAACGCACAAATAGTTTGGCACAATCTAGGCCTTCATGCACACGTCCAGTTGCTACACAATTTCGTGGAAGGCCCTCTACAACGACTTTTCCAACTTATCACCACTCCACGACCACTTCCCCATAATCTCCCATCACAAATTCTAATCCCTTACGCACTTTGGCATGTATGGAAAAGTCGCAATCGAAGTATCTTTGACAAAACTAGAATACACCCTAATACCAACCATATAATAGCGGAGGCTACTGAATACACTTACCTAGTTAACCACGGTAAACGTACTCGTCAAGCTCTTTCCTCACTATCCATCAAATGGAACCCCAGCACAAGGATTCTATAAACTCAACTGCAATGGCGCCTACACACCATCTACAACAAAGCATGGCCTAGGAGGAGTCTTCAGAAATTGCGAAGGAAACTAGGTAATGGGCTATGCAGCTCGACGCAATGACGGCACTCCTACATCAATGGAACTCCATGCCTTACTTGAAGGACTGCGTATCGCTTTACAACATCGCCTGATGCCACACGTTGACTCCACAGAGGTAACTAATATGCTGCATAACCATAATCTTCATTACTTATCTATTCTTCATGAATGCAGGTCTCTCCTCCACCAGCTGGGTAATCCATGAGTTTCGTACACATACAGGGAGCTTAATCAGGTGGCAGACAAACTCGCAAAGCATGGAACAACTTTAGCTATGGGGAATACTACCACGATGTTTTTGAATCCTCCCACCTTCTTGTGGGCAGACCTGATGACTGACCATACGAGCACTCGGCAGCTGCGGCGCTCTTCAACTCATATGGACAATACTACAACTTTTTTTGAATTAAATTTACCACCAAATACTTGTACTAGTTCAACACAATACTGCTAGCCAGTTTTAGCACCTTTTTGTATCTTGGAGCCATCAAGGCCCACCACTCCCTGTAATGTGACTTAAGTTATTAATATAAGTATCCCGTTTGACCAAAAAAAAAGATATTATAAATAAAAGCTTAAAATTTTTCTCCCTACCGTTGTTCAGACATTCTCTAAAAATATCTTTAATTACAAAAATTGCAATTTAAGAGTGGTTTTTGTAAAGTTTCTAATCTGTGTAAATTTGGAGGAAATAAGAAAATTAAGAAATTTTCACAGTAAAATTAAAGGAGACTATTCACTATCAATGCGCTACGAAGCTCGTCAGTTCATAAACCAAGAACCGAGCAATTGGTCTGAAACAATTAGCCTAATAGCCCTCTAATGTAAGGCACACAATTTAGCCTAATTAGATGCAAATACTATAAAGCATGAAATAGTACTGAGCACTTGATCTTAAAACATAAACATTTCAACCTTGTTTGGTATCTGCATCCTTCTCAGAAAGTTCAAGGGATACCGGGCAATGGTCACTCCCATAGAAACCTATCATTGGAACAAGATATTAATCTTTAGATACTCAGGATAAAGCGCGGCAAAATAACATGCATGAAGAAGAAAACACACAGTTTAAGACAATAAAGCGAGCTGCATGAAAGATAAAATACATGTTTCCGATACATTAAAGACGCTAATATTAGTGAGACTTTAATTCCATTCCTACCAGATCATAGGTATGTATCACACAAGTTAAACTCCAAACAAAAGCTACTGGTTTATAGTAGGAAGGATGAGTCATGACAGTTTCTGGATTAGACCTAAACATGAAGAAGTAAAATCTGCTTAAATGTTATAATTATGGCGATCATAGAATATTAAATGTTTGGCAATTTCTTGGTAGCCATTAGGTTCATGTATAATTCATTTTGAGATTAACTTACCATCCAATTCGATCCCTCGTCCATGCATCTCACATGAAACAATCCTATCTTTCAATTTCTCAGACACAACAAAGTAATCTATTCTCATCCTTTTCCCACGATACCTGCAAGTAACAATAACATTATCATCAGGACCATCAAGCTCAACAACGGACAAAAAGCAAGAACAAATAACATGAAGTGGTAGAACAAACTAATCCTTTTACTTGAGCATGTTTCCACGGAAAGCACTTACGAGTACAGTACTCTAAAATAACTTACTTCCCAACAGGATTTCCCGACCACGAGAAGCCACATTCCATGTCCTTGTCCTTGTGAAGGAATCTATATGCATCCACTAGCTTTCCGCTGAGAAATAGGAATATCACATAACAGTACTCAACCAGTCAATGGAATGAGAATACATAGGTTTTACTCAACCGAAAATTAACTTGGAAGAGATAGATTCATGAGACTAAACATCTGCATCTTACGATTTCAAATTCCATATAATCTACTTCCTCATATTTCAGTTACTCGCTACTATTAAGTAGTTTGTTTTCTGAAACAAGTTTAAGTTTTTCCCAAGTGATCATTTCTTCTGAAAGTAATCTTGCATCAGCTTCATCACATAGCCACACAAGATATTGAACTACATTATGGAATCATGTGAGCTTCAAACATGCTTCTATCACTAAACATCATTTACATTTGATTCACATCAGCAGTTAGATTATAAATTCGTAAACAACACATCTAAAAGTTCGATATCTGTAAGAGACAGAGAAAGGAGATAGATACTAGTGAGCCACAAAGAAAACCAACAAGGAAAACGGAAGGGTGGAGAGCTAACGCAGACTTCCTTATCTAAGACAGGGTACTTAATTCGCTTGCTTCTAAAAATAAATGCAGAACACGTTGAGATCTTAGATCACAGAGCCAGATCTACTTCCGTGACAAGGAAAAAGTACTCAATTTGCTTGCATCTTTTCTGAATTGCAAAAACTCAAAGCTCCACCAGTTTCTGAACTCATTATCACCATGTTGCTTAACGTATTAAAATTACTCTCTCCAGCAAGTTATCGAATAGACTTCTAATTTGTTATCAAAACCATTCTTTGTTTAACATCTTCCGTAGATCCTCAAAAAGTATATCAAGTTGTTCGCAGATCCCTATTGCAACTTTGTCTGCAAACTTCAATGGAAAATCAAGGAACTGAAAGGCGCGCAGAGAGAGTACAGCACATGGTTCACAAATGCCTATTGCGAGAGTATTACAAAATTTGCAGAAGAAAATGAAAGTAAAAGAAAGGGATAGGTGAAAATGACTCCAGAAATAGCAGCTTACCACAAACTGGAACATGTGGCGCAATGGAGTTCTGTATTCTATCCAACTGGGTCCAATAGAAACCTCAAAGGCAGTAGTTTGTTTATTTCCTGTGAAGTTCTTTTCTTATTGTTTTTCTCTAATAGACTTCCACCAAATTCATCAGTCCTCCCCCCTGACCTCCACCCGGAATTGTATAGTTTTGAAATGTGAAAAATCTAAAGGCATCTGATGCCCTTGACCCTAATTTTAGTTAAGATGAAAATTTTCAAATATTTCTTGATAGAATGGTGACATTTGTTACACTGACTGGTAGTACTAAAAGAAGCATTAGTGATGTCTAGCATCAGCAAAAAGCGAAGAGGAGGAAATGAATGGCAGATTTATTGTTGCAGTTTCACAAAAATACCAACATAAAAGTGAATATATAGTCCCTAGGGATAACCGCTTTTCCATTATCGAATAAGTGGATTGATTGAAGCTATTAGTCGTTTCACATAGTATCGCAACAATAATAACTGACAACAGATCATTAGCTCATGTGGACAACCATATCTGACATCTATAAGCAATTCAGAAGTAGGAATTGATTTACGTACTCTTTTAATATGGCACCGAACCTCCTCCTCTCAGACAGGGTAAATCCAGGTTGACCACAATCCTGTATGATAACTTTAAGTCAGAATGTTAGGCATAAACACTAGATGACTGATGAATGCAACTTAAATTTTGTAATCCTGCTTCACTCTCATGCACGAGTTACTGGACTTTGTTTTCAACATACCCTATAAACTTTTATACAGCTTAGCAGGAGGAACAGCAAAGTAGGAAAGCAAATTCAGGAAACATAAGCAGATGTTGATTGTTGCCACAAAAAGCTCCACTTTGCCATAATCCAGAATGCAAAGTTTAGCAGAGCACCACGAAATAACAATAATTGTTAAGTAACTAACTGCCAAGCACCATCAGATTGCTTCTCTTCTTATAGAAAAACCCTTTTGGCGGTCTGTTGGTTTTTCAGTAAGCCTTCTATCTTGCAAACATTCTATCCATTCAAAATCATGGGTATTCATACCGAAGATTACAGCTTATATTTCTAGTGGTAATATTGTTTATACAGACAACTGAAAAGTATCAAATATTAGACAAGCAAGAAATTATCTTTTAGTGGAACTGCTAGTGATTATATTTTCGGGGAAAAAAAATAAGAGAGCTTTTTTATAAGAGCAATGGGTTTTAACTAGTCATTTTTCTTGAGTGAAAATGTTTTAGAGAATATGTTTTTCCTGCCAGAGATTCCTACAGGTCCGGCTTGATTCAACAATTGGATTATTGGTGTTATTGGGTTATTAGTCAGAAAGGGAGCCTTGGGGCAATGGTATAGTTGTCTCCATGTGACCTATAGGCCACGGGTTCTAGCCGTGGAAGCGGCCACGGGTTCGAGCCGTGGAAGCGGCCTACATCACACCCTTGGGGTGCGGCCCTTCTCCTGCACGCAGGATGCTTTGTGTACCGGGCTGCCCTTTATTGGGTTATTAGTCAGAGCACCCCATCTCCCAAAGTTACGGGATCATTTCGCCGAGTTCCTTTGACATGGTTCTCTTAAGCGCCCTAGCTTAACAACTCAGGAGCAAGGATTTACAACCAAACAGGGGAAAAGAATTTAGTCACATGCTTGAAGACATCAGACAGTCTTCAGGAGGAAAGGGGACAGAGAACCACCTGAATGATGAAGTCATGTAAGTATTTAATATATACAGTGTTGATTGACAATAAAGAATTATTGATGTCGTGATAACATATTACCTCTTTGTTTGGTGGAATATAACCATTGAGCTTGGCCGCACTGAAAAATTCTGGATGACTTACATCAATATCTTCATGACTGCAGGGAAGATTAAAGAAAAAAGTATCAGAGAAATTTCCTGAACAAATTTTGGAAATATGATATAGTGTCCGTTTTTACCGTGAAAAGTCAAAATTAATGAAACTGCAAGTGATCAGAAGCATTATGACTTGACACGAAACAACTCATCCTTTGGCGAAGACTCAAGGAGTATTGATGATAATTGTTAGCAAATCCAACAATCCTCACGTCTTCAAAGATAACATAAAGGGGAAAAAAAGAACATGAAAGGGAAAAAAACAGTAAAACAAAAAGACTTGTGTTTAAGTATGACAGGTGCATGAATAACACATAGTAAAGTGAAAAATAATATAAAAGTTAAACAGATTGTACCTTACATTAAGATCACCACACCAAATAAGAGGTTTATCTGAAGTTGCGAGAACAAACTCCAGCATTCTCTTATCCCATTTTCTTCTCCTCTGAAATGAAGATTCCTCTTCTTTCCACCCATTGTTTGGCACATATGTGTTTAATATTCGGAATGTCTCAAATTCAGCCAAAATAACTCGACCATCTGGTTCATGCTTAGAACCTAAGAATACAAACACTTGTCAAATTTTTTATTGGCTTTAGCCAGTTGGATCAAGCACACTATATGGCAAATAAGGGAAGTGAAGGAACGGGGGGAGAGACAGAGAGAAGCACTACAAGTCAAATTGCTGTCAGAGTCTCATTATGTTTAGAAGTATCTGAAAGATTTAGCTTATAGCTGCATGATTCCTGTTGGCCACACATTTTCAAGACTGGAGCTTGTTAGAAGTGAAGATGTCAGACTCGTAAGACACAAAACTAATAGAATCTTCTTTACCTTTAAGTAGTTCCAGATATAAACATGATAATGATCCTATATTGGAAAGCCTACAAGGAAGTAAAATGTAACCTGTGCCTCCTGCATTATTTGTAATTATCTTTTTTTTTTTTTTGTAAGGGTAAAGAAATAGAAAGTTATTATCACAAATATAGTATTACAACAAGTTGGCTAAGACGTCCTTGAAGTACATTTAAGCCACCAAATTCACCATGTGTGTAGAGACTAGGAACAGACTTCTGAAGCAAACTCCAATCAGACCTATACCCAATAAGTACACATCTCTTTATTAGCTAAATGGGAAAACCCTTATCAAGCAGCTGCACAATATAGTGTCATCCTTTAGCAGAAGGCAACCAAAGACCTGTGAATCTCTACAATTTTCAGCTTGTTTAGAAAGGTGGACTTGAAACTGCTTAGTTGGAAGTTCTCTCCAGCTAGAGAAACAAATCGCTATTGCTTCCAAGTTTCTTTTGCTTCTTCCTAAACCAGATCAAACATCATGATAGAAGGACTTCCACAGAATATGAAAGAATATCCCAGAAAATAACTTCTTGAACCAACAATTCACAAGCCGATCACATCAAAGTAGATATAAATTGTTTTCCTCCTCCACTAGTAATCACCACTCAATTGTTAGGAGGGTCAGGAGCACAAAAGGTGCTTCTCATAAAGAAAAAAAATGCTTCACTATTGTGTGAATCTCCTGGGACACCAAGAGCTGGTTGCGTTGTATTTAATGTACAAAACATAACTGCTGCATAATCTTCATCATGATTTTCCTTTTGAAAAAGTAATCATTTTAAAAATAATTATCTACTGATGGGTACCTGTTGCATCAAGTGAAAAGGAAACCTTTTTTGGTTGAAAACACTTTTTGATGAATAATGCAGTTCCAGCATATTTTGAGTCCGAAAGCGACCACCAAACATTATAATTTTTGAATGGTGGACTTGATAAGGCTCGTGTAACCACCTGCATGATGGGAAAATAAAACCAGTGAAGAAGTACTACTACCTCAGCATCACACAACAAGAAGTAAATAACAAATATTTTTCTCAATATCAACTAACAGAATCCTGTCTGCCACTTAAGTGTGGCAAACAAGGTGAAATGAAATTCTTTAAGGAAACTAAAAATTATGCATCGAATTTAGGATTATTTGAGATAGTGCGAGAGATATGTGCATCCAAATTACTTCAGTATCACGACCAGCAACAATTACCAGTTTTTCTTCACGTGAAGAGCTGGTATCATCTTTTAACTCTCTTGGGTTTTTAGGTGCGCCTTTGGAACCAGCTGCTGGCATTCTTACTTCCTACCACCAATGTGCGGTTAGATTGGCATTCCTGCCTATTATAAATAACACAAAATAACTTCCTCCAAGAATCATATGCTGAATTTTGGAATAAAGGTTCAAAAGTATATCTCAATAAATAAAAGAGAGGAAGCAATAAACAAAGAGAGTAAAAAGAAAGAAGCTACCTTGTCAGCAGCTAGCCTTAACAACAAATATGTATTATAGCATGAAATAAGGATGCAATAATCAAAATAAGAGGACAGCTAGAAACTTCATAAATTTATCTAATAGTGTGTACAATTCCAACATAAAATGATCTTTTCATTGCACTTCTTTTAACCTGTAAGTATCTGCTTTGTCAAAAAATGATACCCACAGTTTGAGATCTATAAGTTATGCTTCAAGCCATATCACCACTAAACAATAATATAGAGTACAATTATGAAAACACAAGTTCTTTGATCACATCCCCTGATGACAAGGACCAGCATGACATTCCCCTAGATTCAGATATAAGGACTACAATGATAACTATGCCTCAATCACATGTTAATGCCTCAATCACAAACTAGTTTAGATATAAAGGAGTAATCCAGAAATTAAAGCTGTCAAATTTCCTCTTTCTGGAGCAAATCAAGCAGTCAGTTAGTAAGAGAGCCACATGAATGTTGCTGGAATGACATCTTCTACAGAGCACCGGAGAGATGTACAAAGGGGGAAGAAGTAAAAGTAGGTATAAGAAACAAGTCAATTTTGTCAACTGGGTAGATGCCTCGACTGAATGGATTTCAAATATTCACGTCAGATTGAAATACATAGCATTACTCAATATGAATAAGAAAACAGGAAATTTCATCAATGCGTAACCATATTCATACAGACTAGTCCGAAATGCTTCAATTATTTTCTGCATTATCCATTTAAACGGGGGTTAAGAATAAAAGGCATCAACTAGACTGTCAAGGTTATCACTGAAACTGAATGTAAAAGTCGGGGACCAAAGCTGGGAAGAGGAACACATCTAAGTAAAGCATCAAAAGTCAAAAGTCAAAACTAAGGCTGGTGCAGTGATTATAGCATCAGGAAGGGGGTCAGTACATGTTATCGCAAGGTGAGTACCCCGACAAATGTTTTACTTAGTCACAGGACAAAGGAGAAGATGACGAAATCGACTGTATATGAACAAGAGCAAACCACCGGCCACTTATATGTTAGGAGTATATAGATCGTAGCAAGATAATCAGCAAAGGATACTTTCTGGGATGAATTTGCAGTCCATCTATTACTGATGTGACAGATCATAAAATTATCCGTCAAAAGATCCCACAGGGACTGTCTTCTCAAATTTCTACACTCTAGATTTCTTTCCTCTAGTTTTTGCTTCTTCCATGTGGAATCTTCTCAAGATCATTTAAATGCTCTTCCAGTGAGACGTAATCCTTCTATGTTTTAGTGTTTTTCAAACTTCAAGTCATAAAGCTATTTCCACCTTGTTTCCATCCAAATATCTTTCCTATCCTTTGTCCACTGTTGGACACTTTTTGGTAAAGGAATTACTCCATTTTATTGCAAATTAGGCATTGGAAAAATTCATTCCTGTTGGGATCAAACTGGGTCTGTTGATGTTGTTGTTAGGCATTGAAAAAATTCATTACCTAACAGAGTTCTTATGCATAATCTTACATGATTGAGTTTAAATCGACCTTATCCACTATTACCATGTTGTTAGCACCCTCATTACCCAAACTTGACGAAAAAAACTTCCTAAATTTCTCGGCTTTCTTGACGTATCAACAATAAAGTGTCCAAAAATAAAATATCCTTTTTTCTTTCTAAATGAAGATTCATGGACAAGTGCAACATAGAGAATCACATTGGCAAAGCAATTAGACCATTAATAAACACTTAGCAGCACAAAAATAAAGGCAAAATTGAAGAACCTGTATGGCAATGACATCAGGATCAAGAGTCTCAATAAACTTGGTGAACTCCGTCCAGTTATTCTTGATCCGAAGAAGAAAGCTATTGGCATTCCAAGTCAAGAATTTTGTTGGCTCATTCTTGTTCTCAGCAGCAGCAGCACTCTCAGAAATGGTTTCTGTTGTTTGTACACAATCTTTCTCTGAGGATGAGACAGAAGAAAGAGTGGGTTTTTTGAAAGATCCATCTTTTTCAATTGGTTGGAAAAATCTTTTCATCTTTTGTTGTACTCTTCTTGAGGGACAGTGAGCAGTGAACTCTGATTTCTTGTTGTCCCGTTTCTTGAAGAGGAATGAGTGCTTATAAAGGAGAGCTCGCAGTGACAGTTCTGCCCTTCAGCCTAAAAACGTTCGCGGGGAGCTACGAATCAATTAAATTTAGGAAATTCAATAAGCCTCGTGCCATTCTCTAGAATTGAAGCCTAATTTCTCAAATATAATATACAGGGTCAAATATACTCTTGTACTATAAGGAAATATTTAAATGTATCAATCGTTATGCTTTGAGTCCAAATATATTCATGTCATTATATTATTAGTTCGAATATAATTTTTTCCGTTAAGTTTGTTCAAAGTGGACATTCAATCTTACATGACACTAGCATTTGATGAGGTGGATGCCACATGGCTTGCCACCTCAGCGTCGCTATCCCATTTTACCCCTCCCTTCTATTTTTTTTCCACCACTAAAATTTCCTTCCCCTCTACCACTATTGCACCATTATCACTACCATGAAAAATATTGTATTTCAAATTTTAGTCTTTTATATATAGATTAGGGTCGCTGAGGTGGCATGGCACGTGGCATCCACCTCATCAAATATCAGTGCCACATAGGATTGGATGTCCACTTCGGACAAACTTATCAGAAGAGGGATATATCTAAACCAGTAGTATTATGGCAGGAATATATTTGGACCCAAAGTATAAAGAAAAGTATATTTAAATCTTTTCTAATAATAATGGGTATATTTGACCATTTGCCGTATAATATATTATGTATTCCTAAGAACGTTTAATTCCTTTATTCATTCTCTATAAATTTTGGTGTGTTTTGTCATTTTCCCAGTATGCTGCTTTATAGGTTTTAGTTATTATCTAACTTTAATACAAGTAAGTCGGGACTCAAAGGTAAAAATTATTATATCATTAGGAGATCAAGAGTTCAAACTGTGAAACAACCTCTTTTAAAAATGTGACAAGGTCACATCAAATAAACTCATATATATGATTTTGTCTTTCCCTAACCCGACGCGTGAAAGTAGCTTTGTACACAAAGTAGAGGCGGAGCTAGGATTTCAATTTTATGGGTTCTATATTTAAAGTGATGACTTCAAGTGCCACTAATTGGTTCTAAATTCGATATATATATATATATATATATATATATATATATATATATATATATATATATATATATATATATATATATATAATGAACTTTTTAATGCAAATACACTGGTTGAGCAAAAGTTATTGGGTTCGGCCGAACCGAATACGGACTTCTATCTCCGCCCCAGGCACAAAGGTATTGATGTAAACTAATAGTCCACCAAACTGTATAGAGAACCTGGTTTTCTATATTTTCCCACAGAATACACACACACAGCGGTAAGTAAATAATACAATAGTATTTTACGTGGAAAACTCTCAACTCACGGATTAAAAACCACGACCAACACTCGTAGGATTTCAACTTCACTAAGCGAGCAACTTCAGATTACAACCTATTGTAACCTAGGAATTAAACTCTTAATCCTTCACCTACTTGCAATAACTATATTGCAAGCCTATTTGTAATAACTCTATCATAAAGTTCACCACTTTGACTAACTCTAGTCAAACACAAACACAAACACAAGGTTTATGGTTTACAAAGATATCCTACGAGATGCTTCTAACTAAGTTGAGTAGGAATTACAAGTGAATAATATTAACAAAGACTTAACAATACTAAGGACACACGATGTACTTAGTGCTGGGATCTGGTCCTTTGTTTTGTTGCTGCTTGTTCTTCAAGTCTTGGAGTAAATGAAGACGACTGCACACTTGAGAGTGAAATCAATTTTTTAGGGTTTGCAAGTGTTAGAGATCCCTTGCCTCATGTTGGTAATATATAAGTGAGGTCACTAGGATGATGCAAGCCTTTGTCCGGTACACAACATGCTTCAACAGGGACTGCTGCACTATTGCGTCTGCAGAGCAGCAGCTTTAACAGCTGTAAAAAGTTGACTTGTACTGTAATTAGAGGAATTGATAGTCATATGTTCCTCTGTCGTTCCCTTAACTGATTTCATTGAAACTTGTTTCAAACACGTGGCATGTTGTTCTGAGCACTGAGAGGCTGTGTATCAGGTTCCGTATCTGGTTCTCATATGAAGTTTGTTAAATCAAAACATAAAGGCACATAACTTATTAATTTTCCCATTTTTTATGATGAAAAACTTAGAATTGAAGTTCCCCCTGAGAACCAGAGTTATCCCTGCAGATTTGCCATATTCCCCCTAAGAACCTGTTTTCCCATTCAATTTTTCTTCCCCCTTTTGGAATCATAAAAATAATCTTTCAAGTAAAAGCAAAAAGAATTCCAGCAAAGTTAACTCAGACCACTTATGTGCACACAACATAGCAAAAAATAGAAAACAAGAATATAACATGCATAGCAAAGGACTGAGATGCTCATTAATTAAAGAGAGAAGGAAAACATAGGCAGTAGTACCATTCTTACGAAACATCCACAAAATGAACAAACTAAAGTACCACAGTCATGGGGACACCATATCAAAATAGGACACTGGACTAAGACAGGCACTGATAAACTGAAAACTGACAAGGGGACTATTTAAGGGGCATTAGAAGAGGGGGGAAGGATGAAGCGGCAAAGGCTTTGAGAAGAACATCCACTCGAGCATTTGCAGACCACTGCTCATTAATCAGCTGCTCTTTCAGGTTCTCAACCTGTTTCCTCAGGTCTGCATTTTCAGCCATCAAGCGGGCAACCTCTGCACCTTGAGCACTGCTAGAACCAGGTTCCTCTTTGGCTTGACTGAGTTGTCCCTCAAGAATGGCATTCCTAGCCTTCAGCCTCCTTATCTCTTCATTAGCAGCAGTCTGGGCGTCAATCAACTGAGAAATCATAGAATTGCTGCCAACTCCCCCTTCTTGTCAAAAACCTCGCACTCTTCTAAGGTAGTCATTGAGGACGTTTTCTTTCGAGTTCCCACAGCTGCTCTCCCCAAAGGTACTTTGAAATATTCAAAAACTTTGGTGAGCAGGAACCCATACGGCAAGCCATGGTTCCCATCCTTGAAGTCTGCCACCTTCTTCATATGTTCAATCATGATTCACGGCAGGTTGATAGTAGTGTATCCATCCAATGCCTCCATGAGGAACATGTTCGCTATTGATGCGATGGCGCGTCTTTCAGCTCGAAGGAGCACGACTTTATTTACCATCTCAAACATGAGCTGGTATTCTGGAAGCAGGGCCTTCTTGTGCACCCTTTCCCCTCGCTGAATAGCCTGAGGCTTTAGAATAACCTTCCTAATATCGGAGGAACATGCCCCTCCAATAGACGAGAACCCCTTAGTAGGCACATCGAGGATACTCCCCAGTACAGCTTGATCCATCACAAAATCCACTCCATTGGCCTTCAGACAAATATTGTCATCCTCCACAGTGAACAGGTCAGCATAAAAGTTACGAACTTTCTCTTCATAGGCTTTTGGACTCTGAACAGTAAAGAGATGAGTCCACTTCTGAAACTCGTAAATTTCAACTAGTTATCTCATGCCTAACATGTCAAGAATTGCAACATCAAACACTCTGTCCCACAACACTTTTTGCTTCTTCAGCTTTTCTTTTCTGTTAACTTTAGACACTTCCACTCTGGCATTTTTGGAGGAACCAGGTTCCTCACTATCACTTGCCTTTCTCTTGTGAGATTTCTTCTTCTCAACACCTTTCTCTTTCCTACCAGACTTAGCTTTCTCACCAGACTCCTTCTTCTCAACACTCTTCTCTCCATCAATTTAAACACCTTTCATAGAAGACACTTTCTTGGACTTCTCAATCACAGACTTCTTAGAGGATTTACGAACAAGGGAAGCAGGTTCCTCATTTACCTCTTCATCCTCAACATCCACAACATTGTCCGGAGGCAGATCCTTCGCATTCACTAATTTTCCCTCTTTCACCAATCTTCTTCTCTTCTTTTTCTCTTTATTTCGCTTCAAAGCATTTTCAAGGGCTTCTTTATGTTGCTGCCTAGTAGTGGGTCTTTTAAGAATAGGCTCTTTAGAGGTTGTCCTGCCACTTCTAGCAGCGATGAACTAGGCTATAGGCACATCATCATTATCCTCCTCACTTTTATCATCTTCTTCTTCAGACAGAGGTTTTATCTCATGAATCACAAAATCTAATGGGACTGCATCAAGATGAGGGGAAGGAAGAGGGTCAGTACTGTCCATGGGCTTTTTAGTGGAGCATGGAGTTTCATCCCAAGTAGGAGCAGAGTGTTCCTCTTGGGCAGAGAGAGCAGGTCCCTCTGTTAGCTCCCTGTAGAACTAATTGGTACCACGTCACTTTGAGGTACCAGATCCCCATTTCCATCCACATTCCCTTTTGCTTCCCCCTGAGTCCCAACACTCACATCACCAGACACATACTCTCCAACCAAACTCCCTTTAGCAGCAATAAGCAACATGTTTTCTATGGCTTCTTTTTCACCCAAATCCAGCAATGCGGATTCAGTAGAAACTAGAGAGGCATTACCTGATGGTGATAGATTGTTTAAATAAAAAGTTGGAGTAGAGGGGGTGTCAGATGCTCCTGATGCTTCACCAAGACTAGCAACATCCTCTTTGGCTACAGTTGCTTCCTCAACCCGCTGATTCGAGACCTCTGTTCCTTATTCTCCTTCCACCAGTCCTTCTTCTTTTATTTTTTTTGGCGTATCCGATAGAGGGGTTGAAGTGACAAACTTATTGGGTGTTTGATTATTCCGGATACAATGGGAACCAAAACTTGATGGAGTCGGGGAAGAGATAGTGAGTGGTGGTTGGTTGGAGATGGGGGTTTCACTGGGTGAAGGTTGGAGCTCAGATTCGGGCTACTATGCTTCATGAAATAAAGACAAAATAGGGATGTCAATAGTGGCTTTAGGAGACTTTGATTTCTAAGAAGACATAGTGAGTTTTTGAGAGTAAAGGCACGAAAAATAGGGTTTTCAGAGAGAAGAAGAAAGTTTGATGGCTTTGATATATACAGTTATGAGAGAGACGTGTCTTTTGGGGT